GAAATACAATCAAGGCCATAAATATCTGGGCAATATCAGTTATAAGATACACAGCTGGTATAGTTAACTGGACACAAGCAGATTTGGACATTTTGGACCGAAAAACCCGAAAATCAGGTGGCAGAGGATTATTACAAGTGAAGCAATAGTTGAAGAAGAAAAACATGCACTGGCTGATTATTTAAAAGAAAGTCAAGAACAAAACTCTACTGAAGATCCAACAGATGAAACAGAAAAGATGTGATAAAATCAAGAATGGAGAGTTGGCAGAACAAAGCATTGCATGGCCTATTTCTGGGAAAAATAAAAGATAAAGTGGATAGTGAAAAACTTGGTTATGGTTAACAACAGGTATATTAAAGAAAGAAACAGAGTCACTAATCCTGGCTGCGCAAGAACAAGCTATCCGCACAAATGCCATTAAGGCCAAAATCGAAAAATCCTCTGATGTTACGACGTCCTAGGCTCCTGGGTGGGCCCGACTAGTAATCAATGCCAAATCCGACGAAACAACTGGCCGCTGTGATACAATTCTGTTGTTGCGATAATAATAATATCTTGAAAACCAGTGTGCTGTCTCTCCGCTTTTTCAACCCATGTTCTCTACAGACTACATATGGCAGCTTCCCCAGCTGCCCTACCAATCTTAGAGCTGTCCAGCTGTTTGCCTGTCTGTCTATTTATTATAGCTGCCCCACTCCAAAAGACTCTGATATTGAAGTCTAAATTTCTTACTTTTCAATGATATCAGCAATAAATTGACTAGCAGCCTGAGCCTCTTCACATGGAGGTCCAGGTCGAAATCTTGATGAACAAAGTGGAGGAAGATCTACATTGGGAACTATATAAATAGAGAAATAATCATAAATATTATCTGCATGATAGTAATGTCATATTTGAAGAAAAAATGAATAAATAAAGCTTACTGATATATCCCTTGTTACTGGACTCAACAGTGGGTGCTGCAAATTCCTGTACATAATGTATAGTTGGGAAAGAGCAAAATATAAGAATTAGAAGTTGGTTTAGAAATAATATATATGCAACTTGTAAAGTCAACACACACATTTTGCCTGAATTTTGATGTGTTTTATTATTTATTAAAACAAAATATTAACTGAATACATTAGTTACACAACTCGGTTTCTAAGGCTGAATGTGGCAGGAAGTTGGTGGTATTGTCCAAGCCAAAACTAGTGAGGACAAAGTCTGAATTCCTACTAATTCTTTTGTGCATACTCATTTTTGATTTCTCTCAAATGCTTTCCTTTCTCGTATACTACAAAGTAACTATTGGAACATAAATCTACATCACAATAAAACATAGCTGAAAAGTCAATTCTTGAAATAGAGATAGTATATCATCCAGCAACACTGCAAAGGGACGTGAGTAAACTGGTAAATCTACTACTTCATATATTCAGTATGAAGAATATTTCATATCATATTTAACAATATCAGAGTTTGGAATATCTCACTAAAAATTTCTACAGTTGCCATACTGGTTAGTGCATCCTTATTTTAGTAGAAAAGTTTCTTTCCATTATAATTTTTCCTTTATTTTCCATTTTATTTTCTTTTATTTTTCTCTGTATTACTTTTCCCTTAGTATATTTTCCTTACTTGTTCTTGCAATAGGCAGAGGATTAAGCTCCAAAAGATTTTTTAAAGTACTTTAGAGATTAAGATTTCCTATTAGAGCTAAAGAAAAGAATCTTTCCAAAAAGATACTCATAGTATAGGTAGTTCTCTCTTACCAACAGTAATTGGGATCTGAATTTCCAATGCAGTAAAAAAAAGTGACCATCCTGCTTAGAGATGGCAATCCCAGAAATTTATTTTGCTATCATTAAGTGAAAATTTCAAGTCATTAATCAAGAGCCTCACATAACTGACTTGTGTCTTCCTGCCCACTTTCCAGAAGCAAAATCAATGGGGAAGCCAGCTGGAAGTTGCAAATCCCAAATGGTTTGCAAGGACTACAAAGTGAGGTCGCAGGGTTACTGCAAGCAATGCGTGTGTGCTGATGAGGGGCTGTTGAAGTACAAACATATTAAGGAGGACAAGATCCTGGTATCTCATAATCTGTACTGGGGCTCCTTGGGAGAAAAAGCTACTTGCAACCTTTTCTGCCGGCTTCTCCATTGACTTGTTAATGGGAAGCTGACAAGAAGGTAACAAATGGTGATTTATGTGACTGCAGGATGTTGCAAATGTTTAATTGTTAGATGGTTGCACCTGGATTATGATCATATGACTCTGGGGATGATGCGATGGTTGGAATTTTGAGGGCTGGTTATAAGCATCACTGATTTAGCACCTTTGCAATTTTGAATGGGGGCTGAACAAGTGGTCATTAACAGAGGGCCACCTGTATTAACTTTAAAAATATATATCCATGAACTTACTGCTTTTATGCCGCACATCACTGTAGTATTCCCTAACTTCAAAAGTGCAGAGCCATCTGCAGTTGTAATTGAACCTAAAGAAAGAAAAAAAAAACTTCATAAAATCTACTTAAGAAAATATGTAAATGTTACATTGATGCATTCAAAATAAAAGCCAGTGGTTCAGGGTGGATTTGATTTAAATCAAGTCGGCTTAAATCACTAGTAAAAAGGCTTGATTTAAATCAACTCAATTTAAATCATAATTTTTAAAGAGCAACTGTCATCTCTGTCCCGCAGCAGCTCCTTCTCTGACCTGCTGTTGACTCACTGACAGTCTCATTCACTTTAATGGGTCAGCTGGCGATGCGGCAGTGACACACAGGGTGAGGAACGTCGCAGGCAGCAGGTGAGTGAATGCCCGCTAACAGGCGCTGCCATGTTGGATCTGAAACCGATCGTAATCACACAGAGCACTTCGGCCGAACTGACCCGATCGGTTTACTTGCGCAAAGCCTTGCAGCCAGAGCTGCGGAATAGGCTTGATTTATCAATACGAGATTCCTTTGTCGTTGAATAAGCCCTAAAGGTAAGAGGATTGTCCTTACAGTGGCAGAGGCTGGGCCTGTGGGGCAATGCCCAGAGACCAGTGGCAGACAATCTCAGACCACCAATACAAACTGCAGTCTCCAGAACTCACAGAAGTTGAAAAGCAGTCAGCATGGGATGAAGAAAGGAGTGGATAACACAACGGTCCCAGAGTGGACTGAGTCGGAAAGCTGGGTGGGGCCACTCACAAGGCGGGTTATATAGGCAGATAATTAATTAATAATCAGACAGTCTATAATCAGAGCATGGACCGTGTTAACCCCATTCATGGATACTATCTCCACCTTTATTGAGAAGAGTCAATTTCTATAGTTAAACCAGATGTTGTGATTAGTATGAATCATTTCAACCTATAACCATAGTGGTTAGTCTTGACTCTTTTCCATATTCTTGCTTAATCAGAATATGCGCTCTATGCTATTCTTCCCATTATTTCTCAAAACAAACTCAACTACATATTGAAGACTAATATCCTACAATTAATTTGGAAAACTATGAGCAAGAATAGTTATTTAATAGTAAAGCATTTACCTATGTTGATAGTTGTGGTCCTAAATTCACCAAGGTCCCTTCCATCAGGCCGACAATTTTCTTTCTATTAGGATCACCAAATCAAGCATAAATAATTAATCATAACATTAGAGTATATACATTTGAGTTTTAAAAAATCAGGATTTGACAAGCAAATTGGTATGATAGGATTCATCTAAAAACAAAGGTATGATTATTTGGATTCAAATGCAAATATGTTCAGATTTAAATAGACCTGCTAAGAAAAAGTCAGTCTCTGATAACCAAAAGTTGAACCTTCAATGCTAAAACTTTTGACAGGATTTTTTGTTTTGTTTATTGAGGAAGTTTTGACAATATGAAAATAGCCATTAAAAGACTGTGGGGACTGGGAAAATCCTGAATACAGCTTGCTTTATTCTGGTCATATCAGATCCTGTTTTAATTCAATCTGCTTCTGTGGAGCAAGTGATGAGAGCCTCCAGATACTCTATGTCTATCTTCATACGAGGAGTAGGTTTGAAAAACACTTTTAATATATATAGATATATACAGTTTGTACTCACTAAGAATCTTCTGTAATATTCCAAAGGTTCTACAGTTCTAAAACAAATAGAAATTTACATAAAGCATTTTAGAAACAGACAAATCAAGTTGAACATTTTAGGATAAAAATAACATTCCCAACTGGATAGTAATTTTGAATTTCCAAAGCATCAGAAACTGTGGGACTACCATCTGACTAGATTTGTGGGATTAATAGCAATTATTGCATCCAAAAGAAGCAAATAAGATTTTTGTGCCTATTAGGCTAACAATCTATTCTCTCAACTTTTGCCTACTGTGGCCATTAAAATCTAGTACAACTGGCTGGGTCAGAGAACAGTCAAAACCTCTTTATATGAGCAAATTATACCATTACAGACAAATGGCTGTCCAGTCTCTACTGGAAAACTTCCAGTAAAGAAGCACCCACAACTTCTGAAGATAAGCCATTCCATTGATTAATTGTTCTCTGTCTGGAAATTTCACCTTAGTTCTCTCTTTAATAAGCTTCTACCTATTGCTTCTTGCTGCCCTCAGGCACTTCGGAGAATAGGTCAATCCCCCCTTCTCTGTGACAGACTCTCAAGTACTGGAAGACAACTGTCATGTCACCCCTAGTCATTCTTGTCATTAGGCTAGACATACTTAGTACTCTTAGCTATTCATCAGAGTTTAGCCTCCAGACCGCTTATTATCTTCATTGCTCTTCTCTGCATTTTTTCCAGGATCTCATCATCTTTTTTGAAATGTGGCAATCAAGTGTGGCCTCAATAGTGCAGTACAGAATGGTATTATCACTTCTCATGATCTTGATGCTATCCTTGCAACCCAATCATGCACTGGCTTGTTTGGCAGCTGCAGCACACTGCTGGCTCATACTTAAGTGGTCGTCCACTAGGACACCTAGATCCCTCTCAGAGTTATTCTATTGAGCCAGGTACTGCCTTTTTTACATCTCTCTTTTTTTTTTGGCCTAGCATAGGATTTTACTTTTCTTACCATGAAACTGCATATTGTTGGATAGGACCCAGTCTAGTCTGTCAAGATCCTCTTGAATCTTAAGTCTATCTTCTAAAGTGTTAGCTATTCACTCCAATTTGATTCTGTCTGAAAATTTTATAAGATCCACTTCTTTCCTGTCATCTAGATAATTTATCAATAAGCTGAGTACTGGACCTAAGACAGAACTCTGGGCACACGACTCATGCTTCCTTCTATGTAGATGTAATTCCATTAAGAACTATCTGCTGGGTGTGGTTGGTCAGCCAACTGCAAATCCATCTGATGGTGGTACTGTCTATCCCATATTGTCACTATCTTACAATTTGACAAATGGCTTACTGAAGTCTAAATAAACTGTCCACACATTTCCAGTAATTTAGTCACTTTGTCAAAAAAAGACATTAAGATCTGGCATGATCTGTTTTTGACAAACCCATGATGGCTTCTAGTAATTGTTTCTAGATGCTCACAAATGCACTGCTTGATTATCTTTTCCAAGATTTTCCCAGGTATTGATGTCAAGCTGATTGGTTCATAGTTTTGTGTAATCAGTTTTTCCCCTTTTTTTGTAGATTGGAACTACATCAGTTCTTTTCCAATCCTCTGGCAGTTCTCCCATGCTACAGGAGCCTTGAAAGTTTTGGTTTTGAGACCACATCTGTCAGCACCTTCAGAATCCTGGAATGTAATCCTTCTGATGATTTGAATTCATTTAGAGTGGATAGGTGTTCTCTTATCATTCTGTTGCCCATTTTGACTTGCATTCCTATTCTGTCTATGTATCCTATTGTGCTGTTTTTGATCAGTTGGACTATTTTTCTTTTGCGTGAAGACAGATGCAAAGAATGAATTAATCAATCATGAGATATTACGGGAACAAATTGGTGGGTTGGTAATTAGGAATCACAGTATTGTGGTTACATTTCTGTCAGATAACTAATTCCACAAGGTGATAGTAGGCAATAAGGCAATGACTTTGATTCTCTGAACAGGCAGGGTACTACAGAGTTCTATTTTTTTCTTCCCCAGCTATTTGGTGTTTGAACTAGGAGAAATCATCCAAAGATTGGAAACACCGAATCATGAACTTTCTGACAATATTACATGATCACCAAATCAGAAAGATTTAAGTAATTAAAAATAAGGCCTCCTAAAGCCCCTGAACCTCTCTTGCTAGGGGAAATTCATCTAGCTTTCCAAGTTTTTTTCTTTTAGAAAAGTTAAACACCCAGACATCTCTGAAGTAAGAAGTATTTCAAGACCAAACAGTCTTTGAGATACTGTTATATTGCTTTATTTTATATTTCTTTAATTTTTGTAATGTATTTTGATCCTGGAGGAAATATGAGCACTGAAATAACTTAAAAATGAAAACAAAAAAACTATTTTAATTGCCCCATAAAGAAAGGTTAGACTCGGTGGAACAGGAAAACACTCAAAGGTTTTGGTGAAGGAGCAGGGGACATTCTTAAACAGCCCCCTCTCAAAAAGGACATTTAAATTAAGCCAACTTCTTATTCTTTTTCATTGGTACTCTTTCACTACTGCAGGAATACATAAATCCTGCCAATCTGGATATGTCCTAAACTTGAATACAGCAGGTTGAAGGTGGGGAGAACTTCCAGAAACCAAAAAATGCCTGATCGCGAGTGGCGAGAATACCAAAATGCAAGCGCTCGCGCCCAAGACCCTCCGGAACGAGGAACGGTTTGGGCACGAGGGGAAACACTCTGCGCTCCCCGATCGGCAGGAAACCAACATTTACCTGAACGCGTCCGTTACGGTCGCCGTCATCGTCACTTCACTGGCTTCTCCGTTTAGCAACTGATATAGACTAAAAACAGTCCAGCTGCGGAAGGCGCTACTAAATCGAGTCTGCGATGTAAATTAGAATTAGGAAAAGGAGAGATTGGCACATTGTCGGCAGTTTCGGCAGAAACGAAAGTGAGCGGTCTCCCAGATGGTAATGGTAACTAGGTTAAAAAAAAATACTTCACTGAATTTTCTGAATTCGATATTACGAGAATCTTACAGTTTCCCTTATACATATAAGTAAAGAAACACATCAATTCTGCATAGTTTGATTAATTTGATTACTTGGATAGAGGATGATCTCTTGGATGAAAAGCTACGCTGATTGGTTTTTTTTTAAAATAGGAGGTTGCAAACCACTTCCGTGATTGTTGCTAAGATTATTATACAGAGGCGCCTTAATGTCAAATCACGAATCGATTCGAAGGAAACTTGGTTTGTCTATAGGAAGATCGGCCGCATAAACCTGTCTTCTTTCACACAGCACTTTTCTAGTTTAAATAGTTTAGAAATGCTCTGCCAGTACAAATAAAACCGCTGCTTATTGATGTTATTGGCATTTTAAAGACCAGACTTACGGTAGACTGAAATACAGAACAGCTTCTCCAATACAAAACTGTTCAAAGATTGCTGCCAAAGATCTTCATTGCCGAATCAGTGCTCACTCAAGCTAATTTCAATGCATAGAACAGAATAAAAGACTTGGGGGGAGGGACCTTGGGAGTCTTCTAGTCCAGTGTTTTTCAACCTTGGCGACTTTAAGTCCTGTGGACTTCAACTCCCAGAATTCGGGGAGTTGAAGTCCACAGGACTTAAAGTCGCCAAGGTTGAGAAACACTGTCTAGTCCCTGCTCAAGCAGGAGACCTGTGTGGCTGTCCGGTCTCTTCTTAAAAGCCTCCCGTTACGGAGGATCCATAACTTCGGTAGGCAACATATTTTAGGTAACCCCCGTGTGTTTTTCACACGACGTGAATGTGTTTACCTCCGTGAATATAAAAAAGCATTGTTTTAGTTTTGTCTTCCTAAATGTCTAATCATCTGAACCAATAGGCTGCTCTACCCACCGGAAGCTCAGGCTTTCGCGTCCTCGTCATTCTTTACTTCCGCTTTCGTGTCTCTTTCGATGAGTCGCTCTGAGTGCTGGCTGAAGACACCTGAGCAGAGAAGCGAAGTGCTGAAGTAACTGACGATGGAACTGGGCTTGCTGATCGAAGGGATCGTGGTATTAGCAACTGCAGGGCTGGCTCTGGTGAGAAGGGATCAGGACTGGCCCTAAAGCATTTCGGGGCGAAGAGAATGAAGGCGGAACAGCAAACTGTTCCTCGTAGTGGGCTCTCCTTTCTTAGAATCTTGGCCTTCAGGCTTATTTTCTGTCATTTTCCTGACATTTCAGGAAAATTTGACCTAGGAGATTCATTATATCCGAGGTTCAACTTTATATCCGCAAATTTAACAAAAATGCATCGGGATGCATGCAATACGTCCTTCCTAGAGTACGGAATAAGCAGTTCACCATCTCATTCTTCACAGACTTTAGGCAGTTTATAAATACAAAAATAAAATTGCATTGTAAAACTTCAGTACTATCAGATAAGAAAAATGTGTAAATGTATAAATGCACATGCTTCTGACTACAGTTACATTGAGACATTCAGGCTGAGACATCATCAGTGGGTGTGAGTGAGTGCGCGTTTAGTTGTGCACTTATTTTTCTGAAATTTTGCCGTTCCAAGTCATATGAGTTCATCTTTGTTTACATTATAGCTTTACTTAAAATTACTTTGATAACTTCTGATTTTTTAGAACTATGTCTTTCTGGTGCAAAATGCCCTTTGAGGAGGTGGTATTACTACCTTGTCAGAAAAAGTTGGGCTGCTGACTTGGATATAGGTAGTCCTCAACTTACGGCCACAATTGAGCCCCAAATTATGTTGTTAAGTGAGAAATTTGTTATGTGACTTTTGCCCCATTTTAAAACTTTTCTTGCCATCCTTTGTTAAGTGAATCACTACAGTTGTTAAATTAGTAACACATTTGTTAAGTGAATCTGATTTCCTCATTGACTTGCTTGTCAGAAGGTCACACGACCCTGGGATACAGCAATAAATATGAACCATTTGCCAACCATCTGAATTTTGATCAGATGATCATGGAGATGCTGCAAAGATTGTAACTGAAAAATGGTCATCAGTCACATTTTTCAGTGCCGTTGTAACTTTGAACAGTCACTAAATGATCTGTTGTAAGTCAAGGACTACCTGTAGTTTTTACTCAGAAATTTGATGTACATTTTTAAAGGAGTAGAACTCAGCCTTTCCTAAATTAAAAAGTAAAAGCCATTTTAGTGATGGGAGTATCTTTCATTTAAATGCTAATTTGTTTATACAGCAATACCAATCATGCAAAGTGTGGAAAAAATTAAAAGATAGAAGCCAAAAAAATTAAAACCATGGGACAAAAGAAAAACAAATATGGCTTAATGTAATTCATATCAACACAGTTCAGTATTCTTTTGTGTTCATTTATCTGGCAAATGATTCTGTCATATTTTATGCAATTTATATATTGCCTTTTGTTCTTTAAACTCTTATCTCTTTTTTAGGAGCTTATCAGCAGATAATTCAGCTTCCCCTCAATCCACATCCTCTCTTCATATGTTTGTTTTATGCTTCAGTCCTCATTTACTTTCTCTATTCAGGGTATCGCTTTTAATCCTGGTCACTATTTTTTATCATAACTATTTACCAAACCATAACAGTTTAACTATCATCAACCTGTGAATTCCTACTTTCATATGCTCTTATAACAGTTTAAATAACACCAATTCCTAATTTCTCATATATATTACTTTCATTCAAAAAGGAGTCACATCCTTTTTCTCAACATACAATATATTCCTCTGTCTTAATTTCCTCTGTTACATATGAATGTTGAATACTATAATTTATTCTGTGTTTACATTTTGGTTAGTGCAGATTCTCCCCCAATGCACACAATCTTGGACATTGAGATCAAATTTATTTCTTTTTCTTAATTTTATTTATCTATTCTCTATTCACTTTAAAAACTTCAACATGAATGTTTTAATCTTGCAAGAATGGTATTGCATTATTATTACAGTACTATAAGCTACTACTCCTCTTTTACTTCCCTCCCAGGTTGCTGCCATTGCATATATAACTGCAAGACAGTCGCCAAGTATTTATGAATATGAGGGTGAGAATTTATTTCTGAATGATAAGAAACCAGTGCCTAGCCTTCATGACCCTGCAACACGTGAACTTTCTGTAGTAGTACCTTCATATAATGAAGAAGAACGATGTAAGGATAAATATTTATATATAAGATATTTTGCTTTATAAATTATTTTATCCTCAGTATAATTTTAATGAAACAAGATTTGTAGTTTTGCTTTTTTCCACATCTTACAGTACCCTCAATGATGAATGAAGCTCTAGATTATCTAGAGATGAGACAGGTACGTATTTGCAATAATTCAGTAACACTTTTAAAAGTAGAATCTTCTGATAGTAAAAGAACATGAAACCTGTCAAATGAAAAATGGTTCTCTTTATTTTTATAGAAGCAAGATCCTTCATTCACATATGAGGTCATAGTAGTTGATGATGGCAGCACAGATCAAACCACAAAGGTAGGAAATAAAGGACTCTTCTACAAACCTCAGATAACTGCCAACAGTAGAGGTGCTCTTCATGCTTATGAGTACTCATTCAATGAGTGTTCAAATTTAGGATGGTCCTGAACAAGGGTGGTTTGCAGTTAATCTTTGGAGTTTTGACTGTTGCAGACCTGCACGGCCCACACTTAATGACTGCAACTGAGATTACCAGAATTATTGTTACTAAGTGTTACTCACATGATATTGTGTTTTATGATTGTATTGCTTAGCGACACCAATTCTGGTCCCAGTCACTGTTATAAGCTGAAATCTACCTGTTTTGTTTGTTTGTGTTTTGGAAAAGACTTTCTGTTGTTAAAATTTAAAATCACAATACCAGAAACAATACATAAGAAAAAATATCAGAAAGCTGTAAAAAGTAATTTTATCTATTCCATATCTTGTTATTGTTGCTGGTGTTATTATTTTGAGGTTCTGATTCCAAAATAACTACAATGTTTATTGATTGCTCAACCTTGCAAGCTGCCATTTTTATTTAGTGATAGAGAACTGAAAACCTTTCCCTTCAGTGTACAATCAACTGAGAACATGGTTGCCTATGCACATCAGAGTAGCCTTTCTGTATAAACTGCACATATACATTATTTTTGTTTCTTGACTTTTCCCTTGCTTATATGTTACAATGTGGTAGCAAAGCCCAAAGAGCAATTCAGTATATGTAAAATAATTCACAGTTAGAATTGATTCTGCCAGAATAAACATAATATATGTTAAAATGATAATATATATATTTGTCTAAAATAATTATCTCCTTCATTGTGTGCATTTGTGTTCAAGTATTACATAGATTTTTATGAACCATTAGCATTAATTCACAGAGGACATTAGGAAATATTTTAAATAACTGACAGTCTATTATGGTCTTACTGGAGATAATTTGAGGAAATGAGTAAAAAAAATGATGCATGTATTGTTTGTCAACAATTTCGAAGTAGAAAGTTTTTGGGTAGAAAAATAGTTTTTAGCTAGGCAACAGATATAATTGTTTTAAGGACTTGGTTATTCATGATTTGTTTAGTAAGAGAAATTAAACACAAGCAAGAATTAAGCAAAATAAATTGAAAGGGGAGTAAACTTATTAATTATTAGTAAACAATTTGGCCATTACATCTTGAATATTCATTCGTTCATTCACTTTCTATAGCCACCTATCTCATATTTATAATTCTGGGCAACACAATTTAAAAATTACAAAGAAAAAGAATCTAACCATATTAAAACCACTACAATGAGCAGCCAAGATACAAAACATTCATGGAATTCAAAATGGAACAGGCTCCATTCCATCACATTAGTACTATTTATTTGTGTGCACAATTATTAGGCAAGTGCGTATTTTGACCATATCATTTTTATGCATGTTTTTCACTTCCAAGCTATAAAAACTTGAATGCTTGGTGGATATAAGCATATCAGGTGATATGCATTTGTGTAATTAGGGAGGGGGTGACCTAAGGAGATCAACACCCTATATCAAAATGTGCATAATTCTTAGGCAGCTTCTTTTCCTCAGGCAAAATGGGCCAAGAAAGAAATTTAACTGACTCTGAAAAGTCAAAAATTGTAAAAGTCTTTCCGAGGGATGCAGCACTTTTGAAATTGCTAAAATATTGGGGCGTCATCACAGAACCATCAAATGTTGTGTTGCAAATTGTCAACAAGGTTGCAAGAAACATGTTGAGAAAAAAGGCACACATTAATTGCCTAAAATTTGAGAAGAATCAAATGTGAAGCTACCAGGAACCATTATCCTCCAGTGCTGTCATATTCCAGAACTGCAACTTACCTGGAGTGCCCAGAAGTACAAGGTGTTCAGTGCTCAGAGACTTGGCCAAGGTAAGGAAGGCTGAAATCCGACCACCACTGAAAAAGACACATAAGCTGAAATAGCAAGACTGGGCCAAGAAATATCTGAAGACAGGTTTTAATGGCCTAATGAGATGAGAGTGACTCTTGGCAGACCGGATGGATGGACCCAGGGCTGGATCAGTAACGGGCACAGAGCTCCATTTCAACTCAGACGCCAAGAAGGTGGTATGGGCTGGTACTATGAAAGATGAGCTAGTTGGACCTTTTCAGGTTGAAGATGGACTCAAAATCAACTCCTAACCTACTGCCAGTTTTTAGAAGACCCCTTTTTCAAGCAGTGGTACAGGAAAAAGTCTACATTTTTCAAGAAGACCATGATTATTATGCAGGGCAATGTTCCATCGCATGCATCCACTGCATGGCTAGCCAGTAAAGGCCTTAAAGATGAAAGAATAATGACATGGCCTCCTTCCTCACCTGACCTAAACTCTATTGAGAACTCGTGGACTGTTCTTAAATAGGAGCTTTACAGTGAAGCAAAACACTACACCTCTCTGAACAGTGTCTGGGAGGCTGTGGTTGCTGCTGCACAAAAAGTTGATTGTCAACAGATGAAGAAACTGACAGACTCCATGAATGGAAGGCTTATGACTGTTATTGAAAAGAAGGGTGGCTACATTGGTCACTGATTTTTTTTATTTTTTATTTTTGAAATGTCAGAAATGTTTATTTGTACAGTTTAGGTTGTTTATTATTCTCACTTTAACATACAAATTAACAAGTGAGATGGGGAAATTTTCATTTTTCATTTAGTTGCATAATAATTCTGCACATTAATAATTGCCCAATAATTCTGCACACGTATTCTCATAAGAAATCCAAATCCTCACTTTTACTTTCTTAAATATTCAGGTTTGAGATTTATTAACATTTTGGATTGATCGAGAGCACTGTAGTTGTTCAATAATAAAATGAATCCTCCAAAATACATCATGCCAAATAATTGTGCACACAGTGTAGATTATCCAACTAGCCACTAAAATATATGTTAAATGAACATATATTTAAGTTTTAAGAAAAACTATGCAGCACAGGGATAGCCTACGTCCTAAAGTTGTGGTGGCTCTACCCTGCAGCTTTTCAAGAAAAGAGTTCACTACCTTTCCTGCCCTGGTCTGGGATTTGGACTCTATGACCCTTAACATCCCTTCCTGCTCTAGGATTCAATAATCTTTTGAAAAGGTGCAACAAGGGGCTGAAGAACAGTATCTCTAATATGGTATTTTGTAACGTCAAATTTGCCTAGGGCACCATTAAGGAATTGAGGCTTGACTGGATTCTCGGAACACCATCCTCGTTCTGCTCACTACAATCAAGAGGAGGACAGGTGGAAAGACCTTCCTTGAAATGCTGAGGAAAGACCCCCACCCCAATGAAAACACTGGGTTAATTCTGATTGTACAAGACCAAAAAACAAATGCATACAAAACCAGAATTGAGAAGGGAGCAACAGACAGCAAATATCACCTCTGCAAAGATGCTGAACAAATAGTGGCCCACCTAGTTAGCTGCTACAAGGTGATTACATGGATGGATTACAAACAACGGCATGACAAAGTTGCAAAAATGGTGCATTGGGATATCTGCAAAAATTACTATTTGCCTGCCATCAACAACTGGTGGGACCATAAAATTGACAAAGTAATTGAAAATGAAGAAGCTAAAGTACGCTTGGACTTCAGAATTAAAACAAAAGTATCTGCCACATAACACCTCAGATTTAGCAATTGTTGATAAGAAAAGCACTGAGGTACAAAAAAGTCTCAACAGTGGACTTTGCAGTACCTGGAGGCAGAATGAAAGAAGAAACTGGAGAAACCCACAAAATATAAAGACCTGCAAATAGAACTATAACCACTGTGGCAAAGGAAACCAAGATAGTACCAATAGTAATCAGCATCTTGGTTGCAATCCTAAAACATGTGGAGCACTAGTTGGACACCATTGGCATTGACAAAATGAACACAACAGCAAAAGGCAGCTTTACTTGGAACAGCTTATATCCTATGACAGTACCTTTAAAGGTACTATGACAGTACCTTTAACACCATGAAACACATCTGTCTGGGAAGGATTTAATAGGTGAATAAATTAGCAGGAAAAAGATTAGAAAAATTCAAATGGCATTTTCTAAACAAAAAATATTTTTGCATGATGTATGTATATTTGTAACTCTTGACCTTAAATTATTAGTAAGTATAGCATTCCAAATTGTGGTCACTGTTGTTTTATTCTGATATATTATTTTCTGTAGGTTGCACTGAGATATGTTGAGAAGTATGGTAGTGACAAAGTGAGAGTACTCACTCTGGTGAGGAATCGTGGAAAGGGGACAGCTGTTAGAATGGTAAACTCACCTGCTTTTCCTTTAAGTTGCATATTTTCTTTCTCTGAGGAAACAAGTGATTCGGTCTTTGCCTTTTAGTATGAACATTTAAATTAAATTCAAAGATATTACTGAAGGTACTGCAAACATACTGTTTTCTTAGTTAAAATTTATAGTGCTTGATGTCTCTGGAGATTTTCAGTCATCTAGGTCATAGTTATCCCAAAGGTGATTTTTCAAGAAGTAACTGAACGTCCTTGCTTTTCTTTGAAGACATTTTGCTTCTCATCCAAGAAGCTTCTTCAGCTCTGACTGGATGGTGGGGAATGGAAGGATTTATACTCCTTGCAGACAGGTGGTCATTTGTGTTCTTTTAGCAAGTCGTTAAGAGTTGTTGAGGCCACTTGGAGGTTTGTCTGTGTCATCAGGGTCACTTGAGTAGTGCAAATAGATGTGGAGCCTTCTTGGAACTGTTGAAAGACTGGAAACTGTTGTAGACTGGAGATAGATGATGTTGTACCCCTCCCCCTCTGTTGAGAGGGGGCTGTTCCAATTTGACATAGATGGACTCTTTGACCCTTCTTTCAAACCAGCGGTTTTCTCTGTCGAAAATGTGAACTTTGCTGTCTTCAAAAGAGTGGCCTTTGACTTTTTAAATACCAACATAACATACATGTACACTTGAAACCCAAGAATGCATTAAGGCAGAAGTTTGTCTATCCCAAGTGACCCTGATGACACAGACAAACCTCCAAGTGGCCTCAACAACTCTTAACGACTTGCTAAAAGAATACAAATGACCAGCTGTCTGCAAGTAGTATAAATCCTTCCATTTCCCACCATACAGTAAGAGCTGAAGAAGCTTCATGGATAAGAAATGAAACCTCTAAAGAAAAACCAGAAAGTCCAATTGCCTCTTGAAAAAGCACTTTGGGGCAACCTATAGTGCTTATTTTGCTAAGATGGAACATAGACTGGCTGCTTGATTTAATGGATTAATAGGAGAAGGAATCTCTATTGAACCAAATGACTCTTAAATGACAAAATAATTTTTGAGCCCCAAAACACGATGAGAAAATATATTTTTCAGGTTACAATAAATAAAACTTTTGAGAGGATGCAGTGGCCATTATCCAGACTACTTTACCAAACTGATTGTATTCTAAATTTGAAATGAAGTCTCTTTCTGTTTGAAATTTAATAGAACTTGGATCTACAATTTTTTAGTATATTAAACCCAGTGTCTACTTATCCAAGATTCTTTGAATAAAACCATCTATGTCCCATAGACATTTACTGGATTACCATTCCAAATTTGCAAAATTAATTTAAAATATTTGTTCTTTGGGAGTACTTTAATTTAAGTTGTAAATTAAATTTACAATTAAATTAATTTGTACTTTTAATATTTATTATATGTCCATAAATTGCTATTATCTTCAAGTTTGAAAGACAAGTGATAAAATTAATATTAAAATGGATGTATTTAACATTAATTTCATTTTATAGCCATCTTTGAAAAATACTGCTTTCCCCCCATCCCATGTGTTGAGCCCATCTCTTTGACAGGGATTCAAAAGAGAATAATACATGCTTCCTGTAATCTTCTCCAAGAGACATGGAGTTTTGGTATTTTGTCTTTTCAAAAACTTAATGTTACTTAACATTAAAATTAACCAGAGAACCAGTTTTATATAATGGTTAAAATGCTGGCCTAGAATCCTGGAGATTGTGAATTCTTGGCCTCCCTTTGGCATGAAAGCCAGCTGTGGGACTTTGGGCCAGTCATTCTCATTCTACACCCAAGTTGTTGTTAAGGGAAAATGAGAGGGATTAGGTATATTTACCCAGTTGAGCTATAAAAATATAATCATAATAATGACTACATAAAATATAGACCTGCTGATTTGGTAAACATCCTCATTTTAGTTTCTGTTTGAGTTGCCAAGTAGCACCCTTGTCTAGAACTTGTTATTCTTCTTGACAACAGATTGCCAGGGTTTGTAGCCATAATTCAAACAGAGCTTTGTGAAGTCATTCTTAGTCTTGAATGTGACTATTGGTAACATGGAAAGCTTATTGCATCATGTTAGTTTTTAGTTTTTTGAACAGATTATTCTAATTTTAAATATAATTAAAAGGGACTGGCATAATGCAAAGCAAAGCATTAGTCTCCAGAGATATGATTTCACATAGGTTGTGAAGAGAGTCTTACAGAATTAAAATGGTGGCTCACTGCAGTTGTTTGCCAAAATTCTTAATCGGTATTCTGTTAAGCAATCTCTTCATTTTGCTTCCTGGAAAATTGCAATTAATGACTGGCCATGTCCATTGTGGCATCCATTTTGTGAACAGACAATTTACCTCATACCAGCAACATGATTGTGTTCATGCTGTCAAATATGTTCTCTGGTCATAAAGTTTAATACCTAAATTATAATTTTGGGGGAAAGATTCTATCAAAACAAAGTATTACTTTTTTGTCTTTTCATAATAATCTGCTAAACTAATTTAGGTTCTTACATATTTCTTAACCGCAGGGTGTATTTTATTCACGAGGAAAAAGAATATTGATGGCAGATGCTGATGGAGCTACAAAATTTAAAGATATTGAAAAAGTAGAAAAAGGTCTTGAGAGTCTCCAACCCTGGCCTGTGAGGTTCTATTTGGCTACTTTTTCTCCTTTTTGTTGGATTTGTGTATGTGTGAAAAAGATGGCGATTGCAGCAGCTGCTTTTTTGCCAACAGGAGGACTTTTCAGCAGCCAGCCACTGGCCTCTTTGAGAGCCGGTATGCAAAAAGGCAGAGGCTGGGAGGCTTTTTTGCAGCTGCTGGCTGGGGGCTGCCGAAAACTCTGGTCAGCTTGCCTTCCGGCCTAGACCAGCCACTGTAGAACAAACAAAGAGGTGGAAGGGGAGGAGGAAATGGGGCTAGGGCCAGGGTTTAGGAGGGGAAATGGGAGAGACTGGCAAAGGGAGGGCGGGGGTAGATAGGGAGAAATCCTAAAAAATTTCCTACCTTTCCCTGTGGGTGTGGCTTGGTGAGGGGGAGGGTCATGTGACTGAGTAGTTGTGGCCGTGAGTGATGTCAAGTTGGCCAATCCCACTCAGTCACATCCTAGCCATGTCCACCGAACCGGTAGCAAAAAAAATTGAATCCATCACTGGCTTATAGGAATATAATTTGGAAACTACCTGTTCCTTACTCTGCTTCCCTTAAGGCTGTTAATGTTTTTCCCTGTAGGAAATGATGGCTATTGCCTGTGGATCTCGTGCTCACTTAGAGAAAGATTCCATAGCACAGGTATATTTTTCTTGCCTCTGTTTTTTTCTTCTGCTCCTACTGTCAGATAGACTATTCTTTATAGACAGATATAAATGCCTTCTTTTTTAGGATCAAATCTTATCCTCCTTTAGTTTGCATGATCTCTGGTTGGAATGCAGAATAGAATAGAATTCTTTATTGACCAAGGAATGTGGGCCCTTATTCAACCATATACAGCCAGCATAAATAACTAAAGCAAACACTCATTACTACTAAATATTTCTAGCACAATTATCAAAGTCTCTATTCTGTAGTCTCTAAATTGAGATTTTAAAGTATTTTTATTAAATCAAACTAATTAAGAGAATAAAAAGTATACATACAACAGTATTAACAGTATCCTATAAGCACTAATTCGAAATGATAAAAATTAAGAGAGGAAAACCTAGGTTTCTTTTAAATAGAACAACTTCAAACCCACTCCCTCCACATCTTTTCCTTGCCCTTTGTTGAAAAAATTCAAATGTTAACAAACAAAACACCAGTTGATCATTACTGCATGTGAGGTGCAGATTTATCTTTCCAGTTTTTAATGGTAATTGTTTTAGTTGATTCCCATATATGGATATTTTACAATTCCTAGTATCTTAGAAGATTACAAGGGATATAGCAAAGAATATCAGGTCAGGAATATTGAATGCAGTGTTGATATTATTGCAAAATGGAGCAATAGGATAGGTTCAGACAACTATTAGTTAATGTTCCAATCTTGAGTTGTTTCTCCAACAGCTGATTCGGGGTTTCAATCGGTACCGACCGGTACAGCCGTACCGGATGGTGAAATTTAGCATGCCTTCCCGTACCCATTGTTGCGGAGGTCCCGTACCAGAACACTCCCTCCCCTGGCTGCCCCCCCCATCCGCCCAGTCACTGCTCGCTCGCTTGCTCACCCTGCCTGTGAGCACTAAGCTTGCCCCGCCCACCCACTTCCTTTGCCAGAGCGGAGGATTGAGAGAAGCCCACATGGCGCGTGCTCCCTTTTCTTTGATGTCCACCAGAGGCAGTGGGGCAGCTGTGTCCCTCCCCCTTGAGGGGAAGAAGGGCCAGTTGGGAGAGGGCCTTTGCTCCTATGCTCTCGCCACACTAGAACTAAGCAATGTCTTGTCCAATCCAAGACATGGCCAGGCAACCGGTCCCATGATCCACAGTTGGCGGAGCTGGTCACTATGCTATTTTTTCTTTCTTTTTTAATCCCAGTGGCTCACAGACGAAGGAGGCGGGGATGGTGGCTGGTGCTTGCCCCCTCACCACTTTCCCAGCCAGGCAGGGTCTGCAGCCGGCAGACCTCAGGGGCGAGCGGTAAATGAAGAGAGCGCCGGCCAGCATCCCTGCTTCCTTCCTCTGCGCCTTGCATTGCGACAAGTGCAGTGTGTGTGTGCATGATGTGCATGCCTTCCGTAGCCTGCCCAACACCTTTGGACACCCACTAGGTCACCCGCCGAGCGGCAGAGAAATTGGGCTTCGGCAAAAGGAAAAAAAGTCATTTCAAATTAGCCCTCTCTGCCACTCTGCTAAAAAGGCGGAAACCAAGGCCAAGAGATAACAGGACGACTAACCATATTCGGTTAA